AGAAATAAATACAAAATATGAATAAATTAATAATAATTTATAAATAAAATACATATGGATTGAACAGAATTAATTAACTTAATTTACATTTCCAGAGGATAACTAATTATAATCCAATAAATAATAACAATTATAAATATAATAAATTAAATATAAATAATAATAAAGAGAGAATAAATAAAATTATAAAGAAAATAATTAATAAAAAATATTAATAATATAAGATAATCATTATATATATCATAATTATTAATTGAGTAACAATGTGTTAAATTTAGATATACTAAATATATAATAATTATTTATATATTCAGAGTGAAATTGATCTTCTTAAAAATATAATACAAAACTAATCTATTATATAAATAGTACAAAATAAAGATCTAAACTAAAAGAGAGATAACCAAATCAAAATTATTACATATTAATATAGATATTCAAAAAAATATTTAAAGAAAAGATTTATTAATTTTTGATATTTCTTTATTTAAGTAAAATAATTAATTATTAAAGATATATAAGAGAAATAAAAATACTTTCATTTTATTATTTATTACATAATTCTAATAATATAAACATCTCTTATAATTACTTTATATTTATATAAATACTTATTCTTATTATTATATTAATATTTAAATTAAATACCAAAAAATAAAATTGATTTATCTAATTCTTAAAAATATAAGCTTTGTTTATATGCTTATCAAAATAAATTAATCAGAAAAGAATATATTAATTAAATTAAAAAAAATAAAAAATTTAAGTGAATGAATCAATTATATCAAAAATCTTGAAAAAAGTGATAAGATACTTAGTATTAAAGCTACTTAATCAAATGCAAAATGATATAAAACTATACTGATTTCTAAACTTGAGCTTGCTTTAAAAAAGTTTATTTTATATTATTAAAATAGAATTATTTTAAGTAATTTACTTTTAACTGAGAAAGTCAAGTAACTAATTGATAACTTAGAAGTTTTAGATGAAGTATTGAAATTTTTTGCTAGTTGGCTTTAAAAATTTAAAGATCATAATGAACTTTATTTGTAAAAGCTTTATAGAAAAGTATTATTAACAGATAATAATACTATTATTAATGACTTATTATTATTGAAAAATATTTATGAGATATATTCTTTTGAATAAATATATAATATAAATAAAACTGGTTTCTTTTAATAATTAGAGCCAGATTAAATATTAGTTATATATAAACTTGTGAAATATAGAAAAGACTTATAATAGCTCTATATATAAATACTAATAGTTCTCATAAACTAAATCTATTGATAATTGATAAATTTGCAAAATTATGATATTGTACTAATATTAATATTAGTAATTTGTCAGTAATATATTATAATAATAAGAAAACTTGGATGTTAGCAATAATATTTCAAGAATAACTTTAGAAACTTAATAAGAAAATGATTAAATAATATAAAGATCAATAAGTATTATTACTTTTAAATAATTACTCATGTTATAAGATAACTAGTATGAATCTTTTAAATATTGATATATTTTTTCTTTCTTAAATATAACTATAAAAATTTAACTAATAGATACAGAAATAATCAGTTCTTTCAAAAGATATTATTACTATTTGTACATTAGATGGATTTTGAATGAAGTTCAAAAAGGAAATGTCATAAAAGAATTGAGAATAGATGTATTACAGACCATAAATTACATTATTAAAAGCTTAGATGAAATTATACTGGTAATAATTAGCAACTATTGGAAGCATATTACCATTCTTCTGACTAGTGTTAATACTGATTTAAGTGAGCTTTCTTGCAATAATGAACCAATATATGGAGAGCTTACACAAGTAGTTATAGATCTTAACTTACTCAATAGCATGTTAATTGACAAATTTTTGAACAATCAAGAAGAAAAAATAATTTATGAAGTACCTGATGATAACATGTTTATTGAAGGGCTTATTGACATGTATAAAAAACCATCAGACATTCAAATTGATGATACTGAAATTGATGACAGCACTGAACTGCCAATGGTCAATGCCAATAATGCTATAAAGAGTTTAGAATTAGTTCATTTATTTTTGTAACAGCAAGAAGATTCTAAAGAGTTGTTTAAACATGTTAATGCTCTTGATTATTACATTAGTTTAAAATCGATGAATGCAAAGAAACAAACAACAATAGATAATTTTTTTAGTCAATAATAGTAGAGGAAACCAAACGGGTATTTTAATTTGTCTTTATTATTATTATTATAAATAAATTAAATATATATCACATGCAACCAATAGAATGTTGACTCTCCATATATGCACCCCTCCATATATGCACGCTCTGGCTCATTCCCAAGGGACGTGCATATAAGGAGGGTAGACTGTATTTAGAATGAAGTTCGTACACTATCAATTTATGTTAGAAATAAAAGACACTTGTATGCAAGATTTGAAGGTGAGTAATAATAAGATATTTGCAAGCAAAAGAGTTTTCACAAGTTAGCATCTTTATTTTTATTCTCGGATGTTCCTTTTTGTTGGGAGGTCAAGAATTTGGCTTTTTATATATATATGGGATTATGGTAAGTTTATACTACTATCAATTACGTTTCATAGGATTTTAATCTAAGATTAATATAAAGAGAATTCTTTTAGAGTGTTCAAGTTACATAATTACACACTAGTCTATCGTTCGATGACTGTTAACTATAAATAATAAGCTAATAAACACTGGAAGAATTCTGACAGAAATTATTAAAGAGAAAACAAACTCGGGAAGTATCAGCATCAGATGTTAGATATTCTCGAAAAGTGGTTAACTAATAAGATAACGATAATAACAATCAGAAAATCATAAATTGTTATCGATTATTATAATAAAGATAATTGCGAAGGTAAATATTAATTTTAATGAACATAATTGTGAAATGAGGTTGAACGCTGATTGTTTCAAATACAGTTATGAAGTGATGTTAAACGTTAATTACATATACTGTCACAGGTGGATTGGAGTTACGTGGATTTGGGGAAATTTGTGAATTGTGACTGTGGGCGATTAGACTGATTTTACCTGTTGGTCTAAATCTTGTGCCGATATCGTTCAATTTGGGCATTTCAGGGAAAGTCAGTAAGTAATAAAGAGGAAGTGTAAAGGGAATTTCGAGTATTTCACTTGGAGAAAAGGTTTTGTACGCAATTTTATTTCTATTTTATTTAAAGGCCTGAGAGCCATTCGTTTTATACATTTTTGTTATCTTTTTCTATATTAAAAGAGATACTATTCTAATTCTATATAATTTATTTATTACATTAATAGATCGAGCAGCAGTAAAGTATGGCTAAAGAAAGAGTGGCGTGGTTCATTACACTGAAAAACATGAACGATTGTGCTGAAAAATGCTGGAAAAATGGAGGAAAAGCCGTCATGATCTATATTATCGAAAACGTCTGCTGGAAAATCCTACAAATAAGGGGGTTATGAACGTGATACTAGAAATGATGAAAATAGGGAATCGGAAATTATATGGTGCTGTGGAATATTTGGCGGTCGGACGAATCCCTTCATGATTTTGGAATTGATTTTAATGGAATAATGGTAACAGTACATGTAGTTACAATGTGGTGTGTTAAATAAATATAGTTATGGTCACGAAGTGGTGTTACGGATATACATGTACATGTAATATGTTTTGATAATTAATATAGTTAGGACAAAATTTTTTGCCATTTGGATAAATAGTTTTAAATGATCCAAGATATTTGCTTGAACTGATCCAAATGCCAACCCTGATTTTATCTAAAGATTTACTGTATTAATATAATAATCCTAACTCTAATTAATGCTATGAAAATGCTTGAAATTTAGATAGTAAGCAAACATTTTATCAAGCGATGATTAAATAAATACCGTATATAGTGTTTTAATAACTTTTGCAAAACGAAATGATAATATAATTGAAGCAATAATTGAAGAAATAAAAATTTTCCAATTGAAAATAATGCTTAGCTTAGATTACAAGACATACTCGCTTATGTATTTACGTATATTAACAAATTAAAATTTTCTCTATAGCTAAACAGTTCTTTTAATAAAGTTATTTTTCAACATATCCACAATAAGAGAATTTCATCAGTATTTGAATACTGCAACTAAAGTTTACGTAACTAATATATGGAATACTGTTTGGAAGAAAGAGGAGAAGAATCGTAATTATGAATATTTCCACGAGAGTTTCCGTTTAAGTTAATTCCTATAATGTCACCAATTTCGCCGTTTACATTTCCTGTAGAGCTGCGGCCATCACAATCTCCCTAGTGAAATAGGACTATAAAACATGAATAATTGGCAAAAAGAGTTTTTTTAAATTTAAATCATTACAGATTAATATTGTTAAGATTAAAGAAAGCTGAAATAGAACGAAGTTTTTGGCGAGCATTTTTTAAGACTAAGACTTTAGATAATATTAAATGAAAAAGTTTTTAATTTTTAAAATTTATGGTTCAAACTTACGATCAAAAAATTCTTGTGTCGGTTTACTTAACGTCAGATGATATTTCCTTCCAAGCTAAAGATATTTCAAAGATAATACATGTGCTTGTAATAAGTCATTTATGCTTTACATTCAGCGAATAATGATTTCACCATAACAATAAACGTATACTACCCTCTATGAAAATTGAGTTTTTTTGTATTTTTTAGCTTATCATTATCATTAAATCAATACATGTCCATGTCCATGTTGTGCAATACATGTATTCCAGGATCAACTTATCGTATCGTTCGTTATTTTATCTCTATTTTTGTAATACAGCTGTGTTTATTTGTTCAATATACTGTACATGTATACTGTACATGTACTGTACTGACTGATATTTGATAAAAAATCACAGAAGTAGAACATATTCGTTCAAAGATCTTCTATTTGAATGTTGATTTGAACGTGGGAAGTTTGTGATCAACGCACCATATTATCTTTTGCACACATTCAAAATGTCATTATAATTTATAAAAAACACATAATAATAAATAATTGAACGACCCATTCTTTAATCATTATAATCATTGGACACTCCGTAATAATTTTGAAAATTGTAATTAACATCTCGTTTATGAATTTTTCTCTTTTATTCGCTTATCTCTTTATCATTATAACCTTTCGCGATAATATCCCTTCAAAGAAAAGTCAAAAGGGAACAACCTAATACAATCCTAACAATAGTCTTAATGTTGGATCAGAACCTCAATCACTCAATTAACATAAATATTTTGCCGTTAAGTAATTCTCATAAAATAATTAAATGTACGTAAAGGCGAGTTCTTGGCCTATCGGTAAGAAAAACAAAATCAACATTAAAAAAAATAAAGAAATAATTAATAATTCATATACATAATTTAATTGTTACTCGCACTTTCGTACAAGTAGCTTTTATTCCTTTTGTGTATAAACTGGACAAGTGGAAAGAGTTCAACTCTAAACAAACCATAATTTACCTTGAGTATTTTGTTGGCTGGCATTGAATAAGTCCAACCGTTGATTTTGCTTCATGCCGTATTGGAATTTACTTTTTTTGCCTGTTGACCAGTTTATTAGCAGTCCAACTCTTTCTTCTTGTGCTTAGTAAACAGAAATTGCCCGTATTCCTCTAGAATCTCGGGAGTTAATTAAGTTTACCTCAAGCATCCCTTTAAAAGAAAACATCCTCCTGTCTACCCATTCAATCATTTAAATAGTAGTTTTCGAAAGAACTACAACACGGAAAACTTTAGGACGAATTGAGAGCCACCATTCAACCGGAGTCTCTACCCTTGTGTTGCGCCTAACTTTCAACATCTTTAGAGAAAAGCGTAACACTATATTCTTTTAATTACGATGATATCCTTCCTTTCAATTTATCTCTTCCTCCAAAAAAATTTCTTATCATAAATATTTTATTGAAAAAATTGTTTAACCAATAAGAAAAATATTGTAATACGTGGTTGGATATATAATATACATGTACATGTATTTTGTTATTCGATGTCGAGCACTATTACTACACATTAAATGATAAATTCTAATTTATAATGAATGATATACATGTATAAATATCAACAAAAATAAATTATGCAGAAGCTGACACGCATTATGCCTTAAAATTATCAGCCTAGAATATAAAACTTTTACGAGAGAAATTATAACAAAAGGCTTGACCAAATTAGCCGTGTAGGCCATATCTTAATCACAGTCAAAGCATTTGGCTGGACCCAATGTGCGTGAAGACAATGGGCTTGGCGGGTGAGTTCCACAAAAATCATCATCGCAATTGTAAAATAAAGGAATCTGGTTAAAAATTATTTCCTTTTAAATAATGACTTACATATACATACTATAACGGAATTGAATAAGAAAAGGAATTCAATAGTATGACAGTGAGAAGAAGTGGAATAAGAGCAATTTTTCTTTTCTCCATTCGAAATAAAAAATAGATTTAGGCTTTTCGAAAGAAAGTTCTCATTATTTATAAATATTTCAAACTAAATGCTTTAAAGAATTTACATATCTTTGAAAATAGCGATAATAATAAATTTTAATTATATCTTATTTATGATTGTAAGTGAATGAAAAAGCAAAGTCTCATAATTAGTTCTCTCTATGAAATTGATAATTTTAGAATACACACTTTCCCAGAAATGAATTTGTGATACATAGTACAGATATGTATCGATCAAGTTTCATCATATTTCTAGAAAATTCATAGACAGGACAGACAGGACAGACATATTACTTGTATAAACTAGAAAAATAATTATTTTTAATGAATTTTATACAACTGCACTTGTACAGATTTCTTTTTGTTTATCGTTATTATTATTGTTAAACATGTAGCTTGCCCTATGGGAAAAGTGTGTCCGGAATCTTAATTGATTCATACGGGATACTATGTTACACATATGGGATTTTACGGAGTCGTACGGAACAGTCATGAACGCGTCAGGAATGCATATCAAGAATGCATAAGGAATGCAAAGTGTCTGCTCGGCATGTGTCAGAAATTACGGATTGCATACGTAACGAACAGAACACATACAGAAAATTATTGGTGTGTACCAGAAATGCATAAGGAATACAAAAACCCTTGTTTGGAAATTATCATAATGCGAACTCGATCTGTATGTAACGAACAGAACACATGCGAATTGTATAGGAAAACCCTAAACTCACTAACTTCCATGCTATTCCTATTCATATGCGTGTTGTTGTGTTTGATTTCCTGATATAGCTAATGCAGCCACTGTGTCTAATAAAGACTAGCTATATTACACATGACAAGATCGAGATGCGAAAAATGTGGTTTTACATTACACGCTAAGCTTCCACGTGATAACAATTGAACATATTTAGATCAACATGCACGTCCTATATGACACCAATAAGATTATCACCCTTATCCAAAATGCAAATAACTCCGTTTACCTCAAAAGATCCAGTAACTCTCCTACACCAATGAATTCGCATCGTCCAAATTCACAAAACTTCTTGATTTAAAAAAGAGGTCATTCTCTTCTTTCATCTGAAACATTTGGCTACCTTACATAAGTGAGCATAACAGTTGTGACTAAAGTACCAGAGTACTTGATGATTGAATTGTTTCTTTGACGACCTTGAAATTGGGATTTGTAATTCATACTTTAAATATAATTAATATATAGCAAATGTAATCAACGGTATGTAGAAATATGAGATCTTACCATAATGCATCCATTGTTTCTTGATAAATCAGTTTTTTTCAAAGACATCTCTGATCCAATCATATATCCTTCTTTTGTTTGTAATCGTGCATATTTTTGTCCATCATTTTGTAACTATAAAATTTGAATACAAAAAATAAGTTAAAATATAAATCTTAAACATAAAATATAATTATCCCAGTTGATCCAATTGACGTAGAATAATTTTCTTGATACCAACGTATAAAATATCAATATTCAAAGAGTCGATTTATCCATTATATAATATTTGAATGGTCACCAAAGTTCTTCTCCATCATCCAAATTGTAAAAGATTTTTTCTGATCCATATGATGTTCTTTTGGGAGAGAAAGAATTTGGCCTTGCACATTAGCCAAGAATTGAATGTGATTAAATTTTTCACGTAATAAAATATTGTTGACCTAATTTTGATATGGCTCGGATTGTGAGTTTACCATTATTTGAAGAATTCCAATAAGATGTTCCATTGGAAACTGTCATGTTGTCCAACAAGGATCACATTTTTGAATTGATTTAGCAATATGAAGAAGATAGTGAAAGGTAATTATAAAAATTGATAATCTGTCATCTTGATTTTAATCATAATTTCTTAAAAACATAAATTTAAATTTTTATGATACATTAATAAACTTTGATCTGGATCATCATTTCTGCTTATCTGGCATATGCTTTAAAATTACACTATTTGTATATTTTCTATATCTTGAAAAGTTATTATTTTTTAGCAACATTTTTGAATGGTCAAAACGTATGGTATCCATCCTACAAGAATACTAAATGAAAATTATTAATTAAATATAAAAAATATTTTCAACTTATAATGATGATAGATAAGAATATATAATATAATATTATTTGATTTATCCATTCTTCAACTTTATAACTTCTGTAATAGTGTATGCTTACAGGTACACAATCAAAATCTCTTGATATTTTTTTAAAGTTGATTAACTCTAAACTTACTGCTTTTCAAATGGAATTTTCTAAATAATAAGAATCAATATTTAATTTTAATATACTTTTAAAAAAATTTCCATATTAATATTTATATATCACCTGAATAACTTCTTCAAAAAAATAAATATATTATATCCAAAGAAAAGAAAGAAGAAAATTGAATAATATTTAATTTAAATAAGATGCTTTTTCCTTTTATTCCTATATAAATATCAAACTTAATTATTAAAAATGAAATAAATATACTAATTTAATATTACATATCTTATATTTATATTTGATTATTTTGTTTACTTCCAAATAATAATTCAATTATTAATATATTATCAAGATATTCTTGATATATTTGTAATATTTGTAATGATAAATTCAATAGCTCATAATATTATAATTAATAATAAATATAATTAATATAAACTTTATAAAGATTATAAAACTGATAAGATATATAAGATTTATAACTCATAAAGATTTGCTAATTTTATTATAACTAGTATATTATCAATTTATACAATTATATATATATATATGTTTATTTTTGTTATAAATAATCACAATTAAATTTAATTCCATCTATTAAATAAAAGAATTATTATTTTATTAATTAATTTATATATAATGATTTATTATATATATATATATATATATCTCCAAGAATTTAATTTCTTGTATTAATAGATATAAAAAACTATTTATATTATCAAAAGTATTGAAACTAGAAATTATAGCCTCTTTTATTATATTTTCTTGTATTATTCATTCTAAAGAAAAAAGATTTTTATTAATAAAAAGAAAATCTATCAATCATTTCATTTTTACTTAAATATTTGATATTTATTATACAGTATATTTCAATTAAATAAATATTATAATTACTAGTAAAAACTTAATTTAATAAACTTTTATAAAGTTTACCATTATAAATATCATATAAACTTTATTCTTAGTACTATTAAGTTGATTAATATATTTCATATATAGATATTTTATAATATTTAAAAATTTCTTTTTTTTTTTTTTTTTTTTTTTTCCCCTAAAAGGGAGGGTGAAGCAAGAACCCGTTTATTGAATAAATACGCGATA